CAAATATAGATAGGGTCTGAAAGAAAATTTGTATTGCTGAGTTATGAAGAAATGAATTTGCATTTTGCCTGGGCCACTCAATAATTATTCTTTAAAACTAACAAAGAGCAGGCAAGATATAGGACAATTATAGGAAGGAGAGCAAATATGGAATCAATCTTGCAGCAAGAGCCCAGAAATGACTGTCCAATAATGAAACGATTTGAAGAGAGAAAAATCTGTAAACATTTAGAGGGACAGTGAAATCATAAGCAATAAGGAGAAAGATCTGTGAATATCAAACGCTGCCAAGTCCGAAGTTCTCCCCACACACTAATATTTTAGAATTATTCAATGAATAAATGTTTTAGAAAGCCGCCCCACATTTGGGGATGCAACTGCAAATGAGTATAGAAAAGAATTATGGCAAACTAAATATAGAAGGGAACTTCCAAGAGCATCTGGTTCCACCATCCAGTGTAACAGATGAAGAAACAGAGATGGAGGAGTTAAGGGACTTATCTCAGTTCACCTTGTTTTCCAGCTTCTTCTACACACAGTCATTTCTACTATACCATACTCTGCTATTGTTCACACAGAGGGATAACAAATCTGAACTGAAAGTTTGGATAACAAACATAAAGGAAAAATAAATGAAATTCAGATGTTCAGTAGATATGAAAAACCCCAAAGATTATAATGTGCAAAAGACAGAGGGATACTGTCATAATACCTGATGCCATCAATGGAGATTGGCTCATGACATATATTTATTTATGCAGGTGGTGAAAGCATAAAACACAGAGAACTCATTCATGTTTCTATGCCATTAAAACAGGAGGGCAGCTACAAGCTAAGCCTTCTAGGGAGATGGTGGATGCATGACCTTCATTGAGGACATCTCTTATTCTTCAAAAAGTATTTAGGTAAAATAAAGCCCCAAGAGAGTGAAAATTAGAGCACTGTCCAGCCCTAAGATTTTAAGATGCTTTATTGCCACTTATTTATAGTTTTTTAACATTGTGTTATGGAAAATGTCAGACATACATCAAAGTAAGCAGAATAGCATTAACAAACCTCATGTACCCATCAATATCAACTTCAGCTTCAACAATATCAACTTACAGTCAATCTTGTTTCATCAATACTTCCACTTACCTCCTCCCTTCCTTAGTATTTTAAAGTCAATCCCAGATGATAGTATGTGATTTCATCTATCAATATTTTCATAGGCATTTCTAAAAGATAGGTACTCAAAAAGCATAATCACAATGCAAATATCACACCTATGAAAATTAACAGTAATTACATAATATCATGAAATGCCCATAGTTCACATTTCCATTTATTTCATGATCTCTCTTAACAGTTTGTTCCAACTGTCATCCAAATAAGGTCACTTTATCTCTTTAGTCTCTTTTGATGCACAGTTTCATCTTCCCCCTGCCCGGCAATTTATTTGTTGAAGACACCAGGTTGTTTGCCTAGAGTCTCCCACAGTCCGCAATTTACTGAATGAATCCCTGTGTGTCTTCTGTCGTCTGTATTTCAAGGTAGGTAGTTCTAGAGCTGTGCTGCCCCATAGGGTAGCCACTAGCCACACTGTAGCTATTTAAATGAAAATTAGGTGATATTAAAAATTCAGTGTCTCAGTCACACCAGCCACATTTCAAGTGCTCAGTAGCCACAAGTGGCTAGTGGCTACCTATGGAGCAGCACACACATAGAGAACATTTTCACCATCTCAGAAAACTGTTGGACAACCCTACTCTAGAGGCTTAATAAAACTCTGTGAGGTTGCCTTGGGGAGAAGTAGATGTTGAGTAGTAGGTGAGTCATCCACCAAGTATTTGACTCACAGCTGATCTCCTACACAGCAGTCACTTTAAACCTCCACAACTGGACTCTGAAGATAAAATAAAAGTTCAAGAAGTATGTGTGTTTTTAAAGTTATGTAAGTAGTATACTTAAACATGTTTTTGTGATTTCCTTTTCTACTCAACTCTTTAAATAAGATTTAACCATGTTGATATATTTATGTGTAGTTTATTCATTTTAATCGATGTATAATATTGCATTGTTTTATGTATCACAGTTGATTAATTAGATTGTTTTCAGTTTTCTGTATCATACACTGAGCTTCAAGGAACATCCTTATATAACTTTTGCCTCCTGTTATATATAAGTAAAGGAGGCAAGCTTGACATGAAATTGCTGGGACATTGAATGTGTACATCTTCAACTCTAACAGTTATTGCCCAATCACTCTCCAAAATGATAATAACAGTTTATACTCCCGCCAACAGTATGTGAGTGTTCCCAGTTTCTTACATCATTACCAACACTAGGTAGATTCAGATTTTTAATTTTTACCAATATGAGCTCATCTATATGCAACAAAAGGATTAAAACAAGCATAAAAAAGAAAGGGAAAGGAATGGAGAAGGGAGCCATGACTTAGCTCAATCTGTAATGTTTTCTTTCTTACTAAAAAAAAATATGACAAAAAGTTAACATTTGCTAAATGTGAATGGTGGGCACAAAAGAGTTGTTTTGACATTTTTTAGGATTGTTTGGTAGATTTACACTATCAGAATTAATTTTTATTTCATAATCCTTTTTTAATGCAAAGACTTAATAAGTTATTCAGCACATGTTTTTGAATATGGAATTAGCTGCTATCTGCTATGTTTCTGTTTATTTCTTTATTTTGGTTTGGAGATTTTGTTTTGGGGGTTTGTTTATTTACTTATTTATTTTGGCATTTCACATTAAAAAGACAACACATAGAGCGACAATCCATTGGTTGTATTTTCCCCAAATGACCTGCAGCTCATGGAGTATTTCCGTCAAGCTTAACTCAGTCAAATACAGTATTGCCAATTAATTGATTTACTTTATACTTCTATGCTATATTACATGTCAGCAAGGCGATTTCCTTATACTTTCATGCTATATTATATAACATATCACATAGCATTTGCTTCCTCTATGGCTGATATAAACTAAAGAGAGGGCAAACTGTAAATGAAACCTTTGCTTGGAATAGTGTCAAGTTTGTGGAGTATTACTACTGACTAGTTGCCATTGACTCATGGACTATGTGGACAAAGTAAATTATCTGTCACTGACATGGAGGTGGGCTAAGTTTTAGTATAACTATATTTGCAATGGTCACTTTAAAAATTCAAACTAGAACTCTTCTAGGGAATATGACTACAAGGCCTGATTAGATTGATTTGTCAGTCCAGAAACAATTCTTAAATCTCTTTTACATACCAGGCACCCTGCTAGGCCCTTTGAGGGCCATAAAGACAGACAAGCATTGGTTCTTGCCTCTGATAACTTACAACCAGGCAACCTTTTTCTTTTACAAAACTAACTACAAAAATTTTATTTTTATAGTCGGAAGCTCACTCTGGCTTTGTTCTATTTTGATCTTTATAACTTATTTTAAAGATCATTCAGTAGTTATTCATTGCTCGGTCAGTCTTACTGACCTTTGGCCAAAAGCAGTAACATTTTGACCTGGCCTGTGGGACTCAGCTCTCCCCACTCCATGAAGCTGGGGGTGTAAATAACTTCAAATAAAACCCTCCTGGCAATCTGTGCTGGGCACAGCATGAGAGAGAAATGGGACAAAGCAGAGGAAAGAATCAAGTGGGAGTACCCAAGAATAAGTGAGAATGGTATCCATGTTTTAAGCATCTTTTTTCCTCCTCTCTCTTAAGATATTTATTCTGCTTCTCTATTAGTAGGTACAAAAAAAATTATGGGAGGAAACAACAAACCAAAATGATAAAATGCACCACACTCCCCTCTATGCGTAGGTCTTCCACGTGGGCTCCTTTCGGGCTGAACATGCAGCGTAAATCATAGCAGCAAAGAACTCGGTGAAGACACACTTATTATGTTTATAAACAGCCAGGGGGAGTGGCCACCTTGAAGGTGGAGCCATGGAGTCTGTGTGAGTGTACGTGCCCGTTTGTGTGTGTGTGTGTGCGCAGACAGTTATCACACATGCGCTTGCTCATGAACAACACAAGGAGAAAGAACGATCTGCAGGAGGAATGGCTGGCTATGTTTTGAAGCCATTCACACTTTATGCTGTCTGAACTTCAAAACTAAGCAGTTCTGAAGGCCATTTAGTGGCAGCAGTGCAGGACTTCCTGAGACAAGAAGTTCGGCTCATAAAATAGAGGTGCAGCTGCAGCTGGCCAACAGGACATGAAAAGAGCTCTTTGCAAACGCCAGCCTGGTAGGGGTAGTGTAAATGATTCAGAAACACCTGGCTGATACTTCCCTTGAGGTTCCCAGAGGATGAACTGGTTATGAAGGACCTGGTTAACTGAATGCCATCAGGCAAGCTGAGTAGTCCAGAACGCTGGGGGAAAAGCACAGAGAGATGATGCCATGATAACGAGAGTGCTCCAGGAAATAGGCCTCCCTGTGTCAGTGGAGAAGGGTTAGGAATAAAATGGTTCACTTACATTTTCTTATTCTTGATCAAGCCAAGGCATCTCTTCTATGAGATCGATAGTATATCTGCATGATCCCAGTTGCTTGATATGGAGGCCCATGTGCCTTTTCATTCATCCAACACCTACAAAAAGAGAAAGTCTAATCCTGTGCTAAATTGAATCAGATCAAATGTCAAAAGGGTGAATAAAAAATTACCTGTATAATAAGATAAACAATGGGAAGATTTATATTGTGATTCTGCCATTGAGTCCCACGGCTCTAGGCCAGTTTACCTCAACAGTGTGAGCCTCAGTTTCCACATCTTTAAAAAGGGAACAACAATATTTCACATAATTGTTGGGAGGACTGAAATAATGTAAATAGAAGTACTTTGCATGCACAATGAATATTTGAGAAATGTTTATTTTTATTTTAATACCCATAGCATTAATTCTCCATAATCTTTATAGCCAAGTAGAATGCTAGCTGTCAGTGAAAAGGCTGGGTTGAAGGCAACCTTGCATCCTGTGCTCAATTTCTTCTCTCTTCCCCTCCTGCAGTTGGCTCCTCCCTGAAGAAGAGGTTCAAGCGGCGGGAGATCGAAGCCATCCAGTGCGAAGTGCGGAAGATGTGCAACTACACCAAGATCCTATCCACCAAGAAGAACTTGGACCACGTGAACAAGATCCTGAAGGCCAAGCGGCTGCAGAGACAATCAAAAACAGGCAACAACTTCGTGAAGAAGAGGCGCGGGCGTCCCAGGAAGCAACCCACCCAGTTCGATGAGGACTCCAGAGACCAAATGCCGGTGCTGGAAAAATGCATCGACCTGCCCAGCAAAAGGGGCCAGAAGCCCAGCCTGAGCCCGCTGGTGCTGGAGCCCGCCGCCAGCCAAGACACCATCATGGCCACCATCGAAGCGGTCATCCACATGGCCCGGGAGGCGCCGCCCCTGCCCCCGCCACCCCCACCGCCCCTACCGCCACCGCCGCCACCGCCCCTACCCCCACCACCCCCTCTACCCAAGACCCCCCGAGGCGGAAAGAGGAAACACAAACCGCAGGCCCCCGCTCAGCCCCCGCAGCAGCCGCCCCCGCAGCAGCCCCTTCCCCAGGAAGAGGAGGTGAAAGCCAAAAGGCAGAGGAAGTCCCGAGGGAGTGAGAGCGAGGTCCTTCCCTAGGGCGGGTCTGGGCGTCTGCACCTGGGGCCTAGGGAACTGATACGTGGAAAGCGCAGTGGGCGGGGGCGGAATCCCCGGCTGCAGGGACACCCACGCCCTTCTCTCCAGAAGCCGGGCAGGCAGAATCCGGCCAGACGACGGGCTGAGCCATCAGGAGCTCTAAGGAAAGCAAAGCAGGGAGACACCTTCAGAAGAAGCTTGTCAGCTTCACCGCAGCTCCCACCACGCGGCGCTTCAGTACGGCTGGATCGTCCGCAGGCGAGCGGAAGGCCCCCAGGAGGAGCAGGATGGTGGCGCTCTCCTGACCTCCCGCTGCCAAAGTGCGCCCTCGACTCCGATTTCATTTGCTGGCCAGGAAAATCGAAAGGGAAACACCCTCAATTAGGAAACATTCCAAGGGGAGAAAAGCTGCAAATTGCTCAACTGGCATTGCTGTAACCCGTTCCATTCAATTGGTTTTTATTTCTTTTGATTTTCAAGCTCTGCTAAGCTTTGGGGTACCAACGTCATCTTCAGGTGACCTGAATCTTTCCCTTAACCGTACAGTTTCTCAGATGGAATTGTGTGATCAGAAGGTGGAGTTCTAGTGATAGGCGACCTTAGACCCGCATTCATGTTCTGTGTGCCTCTTCTGTCGCACATACACTGATTTTTAGCGTTGTCTATTCCTACTTTTCCTTTGCCCGTTGTACTTCCATATATCTTTTCATTGACGTACTTGCTGCTTTTTTTTTTTTTTTTAATCTTGGTACACATTTAAATAATACAATTCTTAACCTGTGCTGTAAAGTTCAACCTTGGCATGCTGTTCCAAGAACCTGGCTTTGAATCCCAATCATTGTGAAACATACTCAGTATTGATAAAACCTTTTTAATAAGTTACGCAGAGCAGCCAAGGATATGTTGACCCAGATGTCAACCAGGCTATTTTTATACTTAAAACATGTCAGCAGAGCAGAGGCAGAATAAAATGGTTTTAATACCCCACAGCAAATAGAATAACTTGACAAGCCACCAAAAACTGACACCCCAGACCCACCAGAAAGACAAGTGTCTAGCAATGCCCTGGTACCTGATCTTTTTCATACGAATAATTGTCATAGGTTGTTCAAAAAAAAAAAGGAAACAAAAAGACAATAGAAGAAGTCCATTATCCCTGGATAATTATTTCTTAAAAGCAAATGGGAGTAAGTGTTCTTATCTGGAAAAATAAATAAATAAAATGCTCAAAGGGTATCACCACTTCAATTATATCAAGCCACCTTGGACAAAGTATCCAAATTGTGGTTGCCTTAAATAAACTAAAACATTATTGTACATAATGTAATTATAAATCTATCAGTCTGCATGGATGCAAACTGTGTGTGACAAATCGTCTTTTAAATGGTCAATTTCAGCTGTACATTTCTCATCCAAGTTGTACTCTAACCATTGGTTTAGCGTGGACAGATATTCCATCTCTATTATCCATTTCCACAGCCCGAATAAAATATGTTAAGCAGGCTCAGAATGAATACGAAGAATTCCATTTCCGTAGATGTTTTCTAAAAGTCAGATTGTGGAAATTTCAAATAAGTATTTTCAATTTCCTCCCTCACTCCCCCTTACCTTCCCCAAGACATCAAACACCTGGCATGGTAGATTATAGAAAGAGACACTGAGAGAGAGAATTAAATTTTCTAATGGGAATTAGAATATCTGGTTTACCTCCAAATTAAGTTTCTTTACGGGAAGTTGGGACCAGCTGGAAATTGTATTATCATTTCAGAACACAATATTATTTCCTTAGAGAGAGAGAGGGATTTTTGTTGGCAACGTAAGAGAATAAGTGATGGGGTATCTATGTGAGTAAATTTTTAAATTCCAAGTTCATGTGCTTGCAAACATTACTGCTCCGTTATGGCACCAAGAGTTGGTTGAAATTACCCACAGAGTCATACTATTGTGCTCTGTCACCATGGACTTCACATCATTTGCTGCCCGCTAGGTCAGTCGCATTTAATACTAGCAATATGTAAATTTAAAGGACGGCATTCCCCTCTACTTTAAAGCTTATATTCTAGATACTCAGTTTGTGACCTTGGTTGACCTTTGGCATTTCACACAAGTTAAACAGCAAAATCAAAGCAGCCATTTTTAATTCGTCATTCCCAAGCCCTGTCTGAGTGGTTCCAAAGTCACCTGAGAGGAAGGTTTAAATTAGCCCCTCTCACCCCACCATTGCTAAGAAACAGCAACCATTTTCATTCCAATTCAGCCATAAAGAGGTTTCTCTTCCTGGGTTTTGAAATCATTTCCTTCTTTCTTTCGTTTGCCCTTCCTCCTTCCTGTGTTGTACTGTCTCTCCAGCCACGTCTATAAGCAGACTCAACCTTCTTGCAGAGGAAGATGAGCTGGCACTCTGCAAACTTCTTTAATAAGGACCCAAAGTTTAATTGACATTAACCTCTAGTAGGTGAGAAATTCCAAAAAAGCTTTGGGGTACATTAGAATTTCCAAAGCCCTGAAAGATATTTCAGGAGATTTAACAGCAGAGTTGCAACTTACACGTGAATTCTGGTCTATAGTGGTCATGTGAGTTAAATTCGAATCCCCTACTTGTATGACCCTAGGAATAGACTGGAATACTGCAGAGGACCAAAGCTGAGGCATGCGAAACAGCCGCTTGGAGGCGGAAGCAAGTTCGGTCACCTACACAGCTTCCTCTCTCCACCACCCAGTTCCTCTCTCAGTATCACATTATGTTATTCTGCTTTTCATTTACCTAACTCATCAGTACAACCATTTCCTTATTCTCTAACTACCCCCAATTCCTTTAGCCTCTCCCCACCTGTCCAAACTCAGCTCAGCCGTGGGCCAATGCAGCTTACAGACAGTTGGCAGTTGGTTGCAGAGCTGGGAAGAAAACCCAACTCTCCTGACCCTGATGGTGGAGGTCTCTGGGCCCCCCAACACTGTCTTCTGGGTGGGGCTGCTTTTTTTTTTTTTTTTTTTTTGAGAAGAGGTCATTTGGGATACATGGTACTCCATATACAGCTTCACAAAATATTTCATTATAAAAGAAACCCCTTGATTTTTATTTCTCTGGTTTTTTTGTTTGTTTGTTTGTTTTGGTTTTGGTTTTAGTTTTTGTTTTCTGGATGACCTGACTTCAGTAAGCAGATGCGGACCCACTTGTAAGGAGTCTGGTTGGTGATGAGAAAAGGATGAAATCTAGATACAAAAGCCTCCTTGAAGGTGATGATGGTTCTTTAATCCACTTGGCTAAGTGTCTGGAAGAGCTACTTACTCTTCCACCCCTCATCTCAAATGAGAGGAACAGAAGTTTAACTTCTTCAAATAGCCCAGCTCTGGCGAAAACCCAAGGAAGAAAGGTCAAAGGAAAGGAAAGCATGTCAGGGGCTGGTTTGTGACTTGGCAGGACCAGGAATCAGCAGCCACTAACAACCCAGAGAAGGTGACTAAGGGCTGGCAGAAGATTAGCATGTTAATTTGGCTGCTGTCCGGAGTAGGAGGCCATGTTCAATGGCAGTCAGAATTTGTGTTCTGCACATTGCTGGGTCTATAAATATGATAAGCAAGTGGTGACAGAATTATAGTATAAGGTGATGTACTACATGCAGATCATAAAGGATTTGGTTTTAAGACTTAAGTAGAAAATCCCTCTTGTAGCTTATTACCCAACAATATTCAGATAATGAGCTTTTGGAGAATATTTTTTTCCTATCACTAGAAAGATTTACCTGGGAACTGTCTAAAGTCTATACACATATTTCCAAAGCCTTTAAATACCAACTGCAGCATGGAGAGAGAGGGGTGGCAGAAGCTGAAATGCCTCAAAAGCCATTTAAGTGTTACGTTGCAGGATTTTCAGTCCTTCTTGTTATGTAAAAGTAGATAAATATAGACGTTATTCTCAACTCTACCCTATAGTATCACAGTGGTCCAAATGCCAGAGCTTACAGATAATGTCATCACAGTGCCTAGAAACTCGAACTGTAATATACCGTAGCATTTTCTTGGTGTTTCTTAAAGTTTCTTTCCACAATACAAGGTCCTCTCTGCCTCTTGTTTCTTGGAGAGTTCACCCCACTGATGAGTCTTCCTTCCCTGTTGGACTCAGTCATTTGGGGAACAGTCTTAGAAGCACATATCAACCAAGGAAGAAACTTCCTGGATATCTATTGCCCACTTGCCCAGGTCTGATAAACACTAAAGGGGGGAAATTGAAAGGAGCTGCCAACTGGTCAACGTGGAAGGGCAGTTCCACCCTAGATTGGTGTCTTTCTTTTTCTTCCTTTTTTTAAAAAAAAAAAAAAATCTATTTCTTAAATAATAATAAATGCACATGATGTGTTAAATATGTACATATATATTTCAAAAGAAAAAAATGGGGCACAAGATTGTCTTACAAGTCGTGCTGGCTAATTTTTAGTTTGTATTCATAAGTGGTTTTTAAAAGCCTTTTTTAAAGTGTAATTTGCATGTTCTACTTTGATTGTATGTAAACATATTTTAGAACAAAAAATGTATTTGTATTTTATTGAATATAGAGGCAAGAAAATTGTACATTGTTTGAAATGTTCTTTTTGTAACAGTTTTTATTCATAAAGCATTTTTGTACATTTAAAATGAACATGGACTTGCTGTTATTTGAGGCGTAGATACATCTAGCATGCTTACTGTCATGCTCCTCCATGGTCTTAGATGTTGGGTTTTAAACATTTTTTTCTAAAAGAAAGCTCAGTCTTTTTCGCTACCAGATCAGGTTAGCACAGTATAGAGCACTTAACTATTAAAAAAAAAAAAAAAAAAGTTAATCCTATTCATATGTTATTCATTGTGTGAAATTAAAGACATTCAATTCAGTCTAACATGAGTTGTGAATTCTTTTGTTTTATTTTCCATCTGGTTCACATCACTAAGGAGTTTAATAGCATTTGGGGGTCTTTGCTCACACCAACTGGATACAGAATCATTGAGAACATTTTAACAAACGTATCTCTTTTGTATGATACTGGGAAGTACATTCTGGGTAAGAGTTGAGTCTGATTTACTGGGTTACTGTTCATACAGTATTGCACTAACTGGCCACTAAGCCAGGGCTGATTCATAGAACCAGTCAGGCCTCTGCTGAAAGTGATCAAAGGGGACTGTAGGATGTTGAAGACCCACCCTGTCCTAAATTTTTAGAAGAGCATTACAGATAGGGATTAAGCTTTCTTACTAAATATCCCATGATGTCAAACATCTGAAGGAAGGATCCCTGGCTGCACTTAAGGTTTTACTGGAGTGACAGGAGGGACTACTTAATAAATGACAGACAGTTACTGATTACCTACCCAGTGCCTATGCTGAGCATCCTTGCCCTAAAGGGACTTACTAGGCCTGCATTTGAAAAACAAAGCTAGCAGTTTAAAGCAGAATATGGCCAGCTGTGAAAGAGTGATGGGGTCTCAAAAGAAAGGCGGAGTCTTCACTGCTTCCCTGCCTGTTTTTTCTACCCATTCTGTTCCAGTTTTTAGTCTGTATTTACAAGTAGGGTTTAAAAGCCTGTCTTAAGGACTTTGCACATTATACTTTAATTGTATGTGAACATACAGGCATTTATATATTTGTTGCCTTCTTTCTTTGTCTTACCTTTGGACGTGCGTCTTCCAAAAGCCAACAAGATAGTCAGGAAATGTTATAGTCATAACATTTCCTGCTCACTCCCCATTCCTAGCCATCAATTGACCCAGCATAACATCCACTGTGACTTTCGGTATTTGCAGCACCTGCGGTAGAATTATAGCAGTCAATGGAAGTCTTCAGGAGTAGAGTATTAGGGAGCCGTTGCAGGAGGAGTGAAGCACTGCTACCTCAGCTCGTCTCCTGAGACTCAGAGAATTTGGTCAGCAACCTCTAGTAGAATAGGACTTGCCTTCTTTTTCCTCTCCTCCTCTCACTGTCTTGCACTGAACTGGGACAATTTAAAGCATTCTATAATCCTCATTCTAACTTGGACTCATTAGTTCCATTGATATTTCTGAAATCAGCAATGACTTCCAAGAGTGGCCCTAATCCCTTCCTACCAGCTTCTCATGCAGGGACAAAGCTGTTGCCTAGGAATGGATTGGCTCAACTCTAAAGTTTTTAATCAGTCCATAGTGGAGAAATACGCTGACAAAGATTCTCAGGAAAGTTGGATGTGTCCACACATGCGGCTGGCCCAAATCTCAGTCTACAAATTGATGGGTGGGAGGAATATACACTTTTTAATTTTTCTCCAGCTCTATTTTTAGTAATTTTTAAGGCCCCATGCCACCAGCATATAGCAGAATCTTACTTGCAGAGCCAGGGAATCATTTTTCTAATCTGAAGGGGAAGGAAGAAGGGATCCTGGAAAGCCTGGCTCCAACTTTCTTCCACATTGTTTCTCTGTGCCCAATTTCTTTCAATTTCCCAAGTTTCTAGACATTTGAAGCCAGAAATAAAGTATTTTTCATGTTTTCCCTGCATTCTGCTGTCAGAAACATGCCCTGAGGGGATAAGCACAAACCAGCCTCGCTGCCTGTACTGGGGAGAGGCGATTACCAGAATAGTGAGGATGTTGGAAATCAGTTGCTACATGGAAAAATTTAACCTGTCACATATGCAATAGGAAGTGAGGACGATGGGATGCACAGGGCTGAAGGATTTGCCCACGGTCGTAAAAAGGCCCTTTACAGGTCAGATGAAATAATGAATGGCAATGAAAGGGAGTGGGTAAGTGGAAAACAGTGGTGTGTTCATTTCCATTCCTTATTACTAACACTTTCACTTTTATGGACATGCCAATGCCCAGTTTTAAATCGTTATAAAGCTGTGGTAATACACTTTTCTAAAGTGTCATAAGGGCTTTCATTTTGGATTAATTAAAGAAAAAACTAGTTCCAAAGTGTTACATTCACATATGGGAAGATTAGGAAGTAACAAATGATAAGTGTTAAAACCTCAAAAGAGTTGGAAACTATACATCCTCTCATTATAAAGCTTGATATTTTAAAGCTTAATTCTCTACTTTTTAGGGCACCGAGTACTGGAATAAGGGTCAAGTGACATGGAATATGTTCCTGCTTGGTCACTAAAGAACTCTGTATCCAAGAGCAAAAGTTATTTGAGTCTCATCTGCCTACTTTATAAGATGGGAGGTTAAACTCTCAACGGTGTCTCCAATGTTCTTCAAGTCAAAAAATCTCTGATCCTCTCATCTTTGTACCTTCCCAACAGAACCTACCTTTGATTTCCAACTTTATTCCCACCATTGTGTAAAGCCAGAAACACTCTGGGATTGTTATCTTAGCAGTCTATCCTATCCTAATACAATGTGGTAGCATGGAAGAAGTTAATGAAAAAAATAGAATGAGGACATACAGTTAAATCTTTCCTTCCTTCTTCCCTCCCTTCATTCCATCCTCCCTTCTTTCCTTCCCTGCTTGCACATTACCAGGTACCAAAGGTGGAAGAATAAGCAAGAAAGACAAGGCCTCGTTGAGTTGTATTCAAGCAAACATTCCTAGATCATGAATATCCTCTATACATTCTCTGCCTATCCAAATTCTACCTATTTTTAAGGTTTAATTCCAACTTCACCTTCTCCAGGAAATCTTATGACCACAGTCCAGAAACACCTCTTTATCTCTTGCACCACTCATTTGGTAACTGCCCTTAATAATTCTACATAAGACAGAATATAATCGTACACCAGGGCTATCATATAAGGTTGCACCAGTTGCTGCCTGCACGAGGGGACTTGGCTGAAAAATTCAGGGCTGAAATCCAGCCTGTACTTCTCTTTCCAAGATCTGCTCTCTTGGTGTGGTGTCCACCCTGAGTGGGCATCTTTTTCTCATTTTCACAAAATTTCTATTGTGAGAACAGAACTCTTAAAAAATTCAAGATTTACCATGTGTCTTTGTAAAGCAGAATAAACTCCTAGCAGAATGGTATCTGCCTCCTCTTCCCACTCAAACCATCCATGCTGCCCTCGCCTCAAGACCTCCATAGCCACTCATAAATCCAGGAGATCCAACCACCACCATCATAGTCAGCAATACTCCGTACTCTAGAAGACTCCGGAATCCATTTCCAAACTTCACAATTGCCTCAGCTGTCTGCCAGAAGTGGGAAGAAAATGACACCAGAAAACAACCTTGCACAAATGAATCAGCTAGGTTCAATGGCACATCTTAATAAGTAAAGTTTACTAAGATGCTGGCATCTGACATCTCACAAAGTCTTCAGTTTTTCAAAGACTTTTAAAATTTTTATTTTTACGTAACTGCAGAGTCACAGGAGGTTGCTAAAGAATATACTGAGTCCTATGCAAGTGTCTCCCAACTCTCCCCATCCCATGCCGACGTCCCACACAACCACAGAACAATGTAAAAATCAAAACATTGACATTGGCACAATCCATAGAGCTTATTCAGATTTCACCAGATATACATGATTTCATTTATGTGTGTGTATTTGTGAGTGTGGTTGTATGTGTAGAGATCTGTGCAATTTTGTCACATGTATAGCCTTGTGAAACAACCACCACAGTCAAGATATTCAATTACACCGTAGCCACAGAGCTTTCCCTGCGGCAATTCTCCTTTGAGTTCCCCTCACTATCCTTAACCCCTAGCAACCACGAATTCCTGCTCTATCTCTACAATTTTGTTATTTCAAGATCTTGCATATTGCATAATGGAATCATGCAATATGTATCCTTTTAAAAATAAAGACTATTTTTAGAAAAGATTTAGATTTAGAAAAAGTTATGAAGATAGTACAGAGAGTTCCCATGAACCCTGCACCTACTTTCCCTTAGTATTAAACTTTGTACAATAGTATGGTACATTTGTTACAATTAATGAAACAACATCAATACATCATTATTAATAACATCCACACTATATTCAGATGCCCTTAGTTTTTAGCTAATGTCCCTTTTTGTTCCAGATTTCCACCCAGGATACCATATTACATTTAATCTTCATGCCTCCTTAGGCTTCTCTCCGCTATATCAGTTTTTCAGACTTTCCTTATTTGTGATGTCCTTGACAGTTTTGAGGAACACTGGTCAGATATTTTGTTAAATATCCCTCCATTGGGTTTGTCTGATGATTTTCTCACAATTAGAATGGGATCATATGCTTTGGGGAGGAAGACCACAAAAGTAAAATGTGATTGTCCTCACTTCCTATCAGGGGTACCTACTATCAACATGATGCATCATTGTTGATGCTCACCTTGATCCCTGGCTGAGGTAGTATCTGCTCAGTTTATCCACTGTAAAATTACTCTTCTTTTCTCTTTTTTCTTTTTGTTAAGAGTTGGGGTGTTACTCTGTTGCCCAGGGTAGAGGGCAGTGGTACAATCATAGCTCACTGCAGCCTCAAACTCCTGTGCTCAAGTGATGCTTCTGCCTCAGTCTCCCAAGTAGCTGGGATTACAGGTATGTACCAACACACCTGGCTCAATTTTTTTAGTTTTTGTAGAAACAGGAGCTGGCTATGTTGCCCAGGCTGGTCTTGAATTTCTGGCCTCAAGAAATCCTCCCACTTCGGCCTCCCAAATCACTGAGACTACAGGTATGTGCCACTGCACGCGGCCCTCTCCATTTCCAAACTGTATTCTTTGGAAGGAAGTCACTTTATGGAGCCCACACTTAAGAAATGTAGAGTTATGCACCACCTCCTCAAGGTCTGCATTTATACATAAATTATTTGGAATTCTTATGCACAGGAGATTTGGGTTTTTAACACTTTTGATTTTGAAATAATTTTAGACTTACAGAGAAGATGCAAAAACAGTACAGAATTCTATTTAATGCCTCACCCAGCTTCCTCTGATGTTAACATCT